ATGTGCCTCAACCACCTAGGAGCCTCTGGGAAGGTGGGCGGAGCCAGGGGGAAAAGTGTTGAGTTTGGTCATTCATTGGGTCGATGATTTGTCAATCAAAGTTGCCCAGCAAATGAGGTGCGAAATAAAGACACACAGGGACCCAAATTAACGAGATATGTGGCTGCAAAGGGAGGGGGCTTAAGATCTGAACCAAGAAAGGTTCTTGGAGTCTCATTCTGAGTTATTCGGCTGCGGCGCCGCCTCGGTCTGCAGCAGCTGCACCCGGGAAAGGCCTTGCCATCGCCGCTCTCGCCCAGGCCTCCGCTGTTGCTGACACCTCAGCAGCGGTCGCTGCAGCCCCAACCCCTCCTAGCCCTGCAGTGCTGCTGCCACCACCTCTGCCACCGCCGCTGCCACTCCACCACCCGGGCCTTCGGCGCCGCCCCGCCCCGCCCCGCCGCCCAAGCATCCGTGAGTCATTTTCTGCCATCTCTGGGCGCGCGGTCTCTGCGGTCATCACCGCCTTAAGAGGTTTGCAGGCTTGCAACATGGCAGACACCTATTTTAAAAACATTTCGGAACCTGCCGTCCAGGGGGTTGCTGAAGAAGTGACGGCTAGCTCGGCGAGTGATTTTGGGGAAGAATCTGACAGCAGTAGCACTCACTAGCAGCACTAGTTGCAGCAGCAGCAGCAGTAGCCGCAGTCGTGCAAATAGGAAGAAGAGGGTACCTGGGCCTTCCAGAAGGGCGCGGCGGGTCGGTCGGGTAATCATTTCATAGATAGGCTGCCGCAGGCAGTTAGAAATCGCGTGCAGGCGCTCGGAAATATTCAAGATGAATGTGACAAGGTAGACGCCCTGTTCTTAAGGGCAATTCATGATCTTGAAAGAAAATATGCTGAACTCAATAAGCCTCTATATGATAGGCGATTTCAAATCATCAGTGCACCTACAGAAGAAGAATGTGAATGGAATTCAGAGGATAAAGACTTCAGCAGTGATGAGGAGGTGGAGGATAACAGCTCAAGTGCAATGCTTGCCTTAGAGGGTAAGGAAGAAGATGAAAACCCCCCCAAAAAAAGACCTGAGGTAAAGGCTGAAGAAAAAGAAGTTAGTAAAGAAAATCATGAGGCAAAGGCTGAAGAGAGAGCAGATTCTAAAGATTTTCTGGAGGCAAAGCCTGCTGTAAAAGAAGGTCCTAAAGGAAGTCCCCCAGGACAAGATAAAAGAAAAAGAACAGCCTAAAGCAACTGAGGCAAAGGCAAGGGCTACAGTAAAAAAGGCTCCAAAAAGAGTTCCTGAGGCAAGGCCTAAAGAAAGAATTAATCTTAAAAGAGCTTGTGAGAGAAAGCATGAAAAAGAAGACCCTAAAAGCGTTCCTCACTATTGATTGACTGTGTTAAAGAATGTTGACAGATTGGGGCTGTGACTCAGAAGTATGGGCCCCTTCGGAAGTTCTTGTCAGATGTTACCTTGAAATTCTCAAAGCCCAGCCAGCCTATAAATTACAAATTTGAATTTCATTTTCTATCCAATCCATGCTTCAGAAATGAGGTGCTGACAAAGACATATAATAAAGTCAAAACCAAATCACAATAATCCTTTTTTTCTCTTGGGGATGGGAAATTGAAGATGGCAAAGGCTGTAAAATGGATTGGAGAAGAGGAAAGGATGTTACTGTGACAACCAATCATAGTCATCCAACTGCTACTGGAGAAATTGAAATTCAGCCAAGAGTGGTTCCCAGTGCATCAGTTTTCAATTTCTTCAGTCCTCCTGAGATTCCTAAAATTGGAAAGCTGGAACCACAAGAAGATGCTGTCCTTGATGAGGACTTTGCAATCAGTCAAGTTTTACATAATAATGTCATTCTGAAATCAATCTATTACTATACAAGAGAAGTCAATGGTACATAAGAAGATGGTACAGATTATGGAAACAGGAAATATCAAAATTGAAAATAACGGTTGTCAGATTGTTCAAGAGTCATTTCAAGTAGAAGTTAAGCAGGTTTATATAGCATTGAAAAAGAAAAAAAAGAACAACTACACTGCCCTATAACGTGAACGTTATTATTCTTTACAGACTTATCTTTTCGTAGTTTCTTTGTAGTCTGTTTTTAAAATTGTCCAGAAAAAAAAGTGTCTAAGTATTGGTTTAGTCTGTCCAGCCTGTTGTAGTTTAAATTAGTAGTTTAATATTCTTCAAAATACATAGACTGCTGCCAATTATCTATAAAGCATATTAGATTGGTGCTACAGAGTATTGATTTTTGTGAATTCCTTTCATCATGTTCCTACTAGGTTGCAGCTGTGAAAACTGTCAGAATTGTTAATTGAAAAATATTTGTTTGGGGAAAAAACAAAGTTCCTGAAGTACCAATGCAAGTGTTTTGTTTTGTCTTTTCCAGCCCAGAAGACTAAGGTTTTCAATCAGCTTGCACTATCTGTGCCTTCATTACTTTGTTACAGAAATGTACTACTTAACTCTAAATAGAACAGTGCACTGTAAAGTCTGATTGCTTCAAAAAAGATTTGCATACATTTAAGAATGTCTATCAATACTATATGTATTATGAATGTGAGCTTATTTATGTGACATAGGGTTCTACAAATAAATTTAATCAACAAAATTATTTTTTAACCACTAAGGTGTTAATGTAAGTGTTTTTTTTTTATTTTACTCATACTGTGTAATTGTAAATTAAAGTTACAAACACATTTTCTTTGTAATTTGTTCTATTTTGCCTTTCATTGAAGATGATCACTTTACATCATTTGATATTTTATCTTATTTTTTTATTGCAACCTAAAATAAATAAACGTGAAATAAAGTGTTTCATGTAGTAAAAATGCAGCATTTTCTCTTAATTATAAAAATGTTTGTTTACCATAGAAAAAGTGGAAAATGCCAAGGAAAAGGAATGTAAAAAAGCAAAAAATGATTATTGTTAACATTCTGATATATTTCCCAGATCTTAGGTCTTTTGTTGGAGGATATACATTCAAGTAATTGGAGAAGTATTGGACAGGAGAGGAGTAAGGTGAGGGTGAAGAGGGGAGGGGAGGAAGAAGTGGACAGGGAGGGATGGAGGAGTGGAGCAGGGAAGGAAAGAAGGAGAAGGTAACAGGGAGGGGAGTGAAGGGCTGGCAGAAGGAGGGAATATGCGACATTTGCCATTTTCCCTTCCACATACATTTTCTTTCAAGACCTTATACGCAAGATGTATGGCCTGAGGAAGACAGGATATGAGAATTTTTGTGTCCCTAGTCATTAAAATTGTCTAATTGTCTTCCTAAATCCCACCATACAAAATTTAGTAACTTACTTTTATCCCTGATTACCAATATTTTCCCCTTCCATGTCTATAAATGTAACAATAGTCCAACCTTTGAACATACTTTAAACGTATGTATAATCAATCACTTATGGCTGGATATTTAGCTTGTTTATGATTTGTACAAAATCAGAAATACATTTGTTCTTTTAGTGCCTTTGTTTTATTTCTGGGAATTTTGCATCCATTAAGAATGGGTATAGCAGCAGATTTAAATATATGCCAGGGCTAAAACAAAGACTATAATAAATATGATGTAACTGGATCACCCTTCCATAGATTGTAAAACACATATATTATGCTTGCCAGATATCATAGATAGCAGAGCCCTTACAACTTCTACATGAAATGCAGAATCATTATTGCATGTTGGAACTCGTACCAATGTATTTAGCCTCTTCCCGCTCTGGATTTTCCAATAGTTAATGAATGCATGCTTGTTATAGAATATTTAGAAAATAGAAGCAGAAATGCAGGGGAAAAAATCACTCAGAAGCACACTCACGAAAGTATGCCGTTTGTAGGTTTGAATATTTTCTACCAGCCTGTCTCTTTCTACAGTTTTTGTTGTAAGTACTTGGCTCAAATCAAAAGGTTGAGTTCAAGTTAGGTGGGTGTAAGAAAGGCTAATTGAAAAGATAACTCACTGCTATTTTTAACTTTTATTTTGAAGGCTAAGAGTAACAGCAAGTGCTGAGGTTTTCTGCATCAGTAAAGCTAGGATTCTGGACAAGCTAGCAGTCTTGGGTAGGTGCTTCAATCACCTTGGCAGGTAGAGGAAAATGAGGAGAATTGGGAAACCAGTTGGGCTCAAACATTCATTAGGGAGGATATTCAATACACCTGCTCTCCAGTGAATGCTGTTAGAGGAGCTGTAGGGAATGAAGCTGATGGGCAGGAGCCTGAGGCATGAGATCCAACAAAATGGGCTTAAGAATCTTTTCCACCCCCTCTTTCTGGTACACAGTTTCCTTTGATTCAATGATTCAAGGCTGAGGTCTGCAGCCCCATTCACTGCCCCCACACAGACTGCTGCTGCCACTGCCGCTTCCTCCTACTCCTGTACCTCCTTCTCCTTCCTGGCAACCACTGCCACCTCCTCTGTGAGTTCTTTTCCGTGCTGAGGTAGACACTAAGTGTCCATGGTAGTCACCCTACAGTTTTACTCTTTTCCGTTAACATAGCATATTCACATAACAAGGGACTTTTAGCAAGCTGGCCAAGAGGCTGCTGAAAGAGGTAACGGAAGAGACTGTCAAGCCTGAGTAAGGAAAATGACAATACAGGTAATCAAATGATGCAAATGCTCTAATGGGCCACCAAGAGTGTTCTAAACCTTGGAGGAGCCACTCTGTCCAGAGAGTGCTGGTGCTCTTGTCCTCAAAAAGCTTCAAAAACAATGTAATAAGAAATAAACCAAATTTGAAGAGGAATTGAAAGTTCTTGGGATAAAAAGCATAAACCATCACTTGATAAGGTATTCGAGCCCACCAGCACATGTATTAGGACATGTGGGTTTGTGCCTGCCCACACTGCACATTGTGAAAGTGATGAGGTGTTGAATAATTGGAATCTGAATTCTGAGGCATCTGGTAACACTGAGAAAGAAAAAGAGAGGATAGAGTTTGAAATGGAGGAAAACTGATGATAAAGATTTTAAAGTTCTGAGTATTTTTTGACTTTTAAAAGTAATACAATTAAAGTACATTTAACAAAATGAATATTTCAAAACTAAGGTGTTGGAGAAAATAGGAGCTAACATTAAAATCAAATGTTTTGATGCCTTCTCCTGTGAACGTTCAGAAATTAAGGTTTGCAAATGGTGTCAGATAGACCAGAGTGAATATAAGAATGACCCTCTAAAAGCCAAAGTAATCACGTTTTCCAAACCCAAAACCCAAACTGAATAAGTCCAACCCTAAGTCTTTTATTTGCTTTAGTTCTCCTGTGTTTTTTTTTTTTTTTGCTTTTACTGTAATATTTCATTGTATTTTAGGTGATAAATTACAGAACAAACTAGCTTCCAATTTAACAATTTCTATACAACCTCTTCAGTGACATTGGTTACATTTTTCACAATGTGTCATTGTTCTCATTCATTACATTCTGGTTGCACTATTTCCAGCACTTTAGTTTTTCCTACCCCCTTATTGCGGACACTTTTTTTTTTCCTTCTTGATTTGGTTGAAAGTTTACAGAGCAAATTCATATTCCATACAACAGTTCATATACATTTTGTTGCATATCATTGGTTGCAATCCCCAAAATGTAACTACTCTCTTCCCACTTTCTCCCAGTGGTTACCTTTTCCCTCTGTCCTTCTTTCCTATGCATTCCTGCTCTCTGAGCCATTTCCCTGTACAAATACTACCCTTCTGATCTCTCATGGCTGATTGTTCTAAGGAATATACCTACCTGGTGCACCTTATATGCCTGTCTAGGGGTCGCTATGAGTTGGGTCTGATTCAATGGCACATAACAACAACAACAACAACATGGTTTGGCTGGAAGCCACAGGAGTGAGTTCAATTCCAGGCTCGAAGGGCCATAGTCTTGGAGGTTTCACCAGTCTCTATCAGACCAGTAAGCCTGGTCTTTTTTTTTTTTTATGATTTTGAGCTTTATTCCACACATTTCTCCCACTCTATCCAAGATCTCCTACACTGGTCCCTTTCCTAGTGGTTGACAGTGGTAGCCAGGCACCATCTAGTTCTTCTGGTCTCATGGTCATGTAGGGTGAGGTTTGCATAGTCCACACTAGTCCCTTGGAGGGAGTCCCTTATTTCCATGCTGCTTTGGTTTTCTTCATTCTTCTTTGTGCCAGATGAGGAGAGACCAATTGTGGCATCTTAGATGGCCACTTGCAAACTTTTAACACCCTAGTTGCTGTTGTTATGTGCCATCGAGTTGGACCCCACTCATAGCGACCCTGCCTTGGGTTTCCAAGGCCGTGTCACTACAGAAGTAGATTGGCCAACCTTCCTTCTGAGGAGTGGCTGGTGGTTTGAACTGCCGGCCTTCTGCTTAGCAGACAAGTGCCTTAGGCACTATGCTACCAGAGTAGAACAATGCTTTTGTGTAGTCTATTATGCCAATTGAGCTTAATGTCCCTGTGACCACGTTCCTGAGCCCATGGGCCCAAAAACTAGCTTCCTCAGGGTGTTTGGCTGTGGCTAAGAAGGTGTAACTTTAACCTTGCCCCCTGTTAGCTCTATATAAATACATATGTAGAAATATAGTCTGCCAAAGGTATATACAATGGTGGATATATTCCCTTTTGCCTAGACATATCTGATGATTCAGCCTGTCTACCTGTATGTTTTTTTTTTTTTTTGTTATGTGCCGTCGAGTCGGACCAGACTCATAGCGACCCCTCCTTGGGTTTCTGAGGCAGTATCACTACGGAAGTAGATTGCCCAACCTTCCTTCTAAGGAGTGGCTGGTGGGTTTGAACCACCAGTCTTCTGATTAGCAGACAAGTGCCTTAGGCACTATGCTACTAGAGCTCCCATCTACCTATATATCCACTCATAGTTTGTTATTACTAATAATGCAGTATTATGTATGTAAATGTGTTCATTTTTGTTGTCTGTACCTGGCGTGCACCTCTCTGTGTCTTCT